GCAGTTTAGACGAACTTTATAAATTAAAAGAATCTATAGATAAAAATTGCCCCATTCACGATCAATTATATTTTTCCGACTCAGAAACAACCTCAAATTCATCAAAAAGAGGAAAAAGAAGAATCAAAAAGCAATATAAACACAAACCAGTACATGTATACAATTGGAATCAACCAATTAGACACATTGATAATTACATATTAACAGTCATCAAACGAAAAAATGAGCTCAACGCACACCCCAAGTGAAGAAAGTCCAGATGATGATGATATCTTCCCCTTCATTGTAGATGCAACCACTGATAGAGGACAGCATATCCTTTGCAAAAATTTACTCTTAAATTTGTTTGAACCCGGAATCAGTCCATGTAAAACAGAGTTCCCAGATGTAAAGATCAAAAGACAAATCATCGATCACTATCTGAAAGATATATGTAACTTAACACAACAATACGGAATCTACTCCATAGAATTCAGCTCACCAAACCAGAATCACAGCAAATATGTAATTCAAACAGACGACCTTGATTTAGAATTTTCAAAAGTATTCTCAGAATATATGAAAAGCATACAATATCATAACTCACAAAGAGCAAACTCCATATTCACCAATGAAGTTTTTGCAATAATATATAGTTATATCTCGATATTAGAAAACGAAATCCCACTCCCAAATGTCTCACCGACAGAAACATCTAAACACATAAGAGTACGACATGAAATCACACTACTCTCTAGTTTTCTAAATATAATTCAAGAAAATTTCACTAAAGATGAAGTTTCACAACATACAAAACACGACTTACAAAAAATTTTGGCATGGTTTATAATAGATTATTTCACACATAATATAGATTTAATTTCACATGCAAGAAAAAATTTTAGACCTCAAAACTCAAACGATGATACTGCCATCACAGAACAATCAGACTATGTTTGGGACCCCGAATGGTCTCATTATGCATTCATAAATATCCCACAATCAATCTCCAGTCAAACAATAAGTACAATATCTTATGTAAGAGATTATGTAAAAGTAACACCATTAACCATTGATGCAACACCATTAAACTATAATACATTTTTACCTGATATGCAAAATAATAGTTTAAACTCCACAGTCATACACAATGAAAACCTCAATGGAACTAGAAATCTCACTCAACAAGATATCCAGACACCATCACACTTCATAAATGAAGAAATCGTACACACAACAACTACACAACAAAGCATTTCACCGATACGTCCAAACTTAACAACACCAAGAAATACAAATCCTTCACAAACACAGGTAACCTTACAATCAACCGTTAAACCTTCGGTTGCCCCAAAATATTCACACATGGATTATCAAACATACAGACCCATGACAATACCGTCAAAAACACGTAAAACGTTCACTAGAAACAATTTTGCAGAACATAATTATAATTACACACATTCATCAAAAACAAATTATCCCCAACGAAGAAATTTTAATAATTATACAAGATCTCGAAACTGGGATAACCCAATGGCACAAACTAATTCAGTAAATTTTCAAACAAATTTACATCCTCCACAGGATCGTAGTGAAAACTATCCATTTTTTCAACAAAATAAAAATAAAAAACAAACATCTTATCAAATGGATTACTTATTCTCAGATGATGATTTTTTACAACCAGATATATTTGCACCATATAATTAAGAATATCGTGGACAAGGAGTACAGAAACCACATACAAATCTTAGAATTTTTTCTCCACAACCGATAGATACACAAAATCAACAACCAATTCAGCAACAAAACCCAATCAATACACAAAATTTTCAACCAATTCAGCAACAAAACCCAATGATCACACACTCGTATCAACCGACACAAATGCAAAATGAAATACCACTCCCATATTATCTTCAACAACACGAAATAACAAGAAATCAACTTTCAAATTTTTCTCAAATGCCAAATGCAGCAGAATCATTACAAATGACAATGAATCCATACCTTATGGGTGGATCATCAATAACATCAAATAAACCTTTAATGGTATTCACAGGAACAGACCCTGAATTTTCTGTAGAAGACTATTTAAATGCAGTAACAGCAAATTTGATTTTAAATATAGGACCTGAACCAATTAATACGCCACTACATCAAAACTGAATACATCGACGCACAGCGTTGATACAAACAACTTTAGACGGCGCAGCCCAAAAATGGTTTTCAGTATTGCCTCTAGAAATAAAATCAAATTGGAAAAGGTTTACAAAAGAATTTTCAAAAATGTTTGACTCCGAAAGAAACAAACAACAACAAAGAGTTTTATGTAATGAAATTCGCAGATTACCAAATGAAACCATCAAGCAATTAGCAGTACGCATCGAAACACTAGCTCGAAAAGCATATTCATTAAACACACATGACTATAAAAACACAAAGATGACAGAAATCCTAATGATGACCTTAACACCGCAATTAGGGAAAATAGCAATAAAAAAGAGAGCATCCCATCCTTCTTCAATTCGAGAACCCGATTTAGATTTTCGAAAACTAGTAGACAAACTAGAACAAGCAGAAATTACAATGAAACTCGAAGAAACAGAAAATCTGAAATTACAATATGTTAACCGAATTGAAACGAATACCACAAGTATCAACAATATACAGGAATCAGATACAGACCTTGTTGAAAAAATCACTGAAATACTCAATATTTATGAAAAACACCCAAACTTTAAAGGCAAACCGTCTTTCAAAAAATGGTGTAATTATTGCCGACGATACGGACATAGTATTTCTGAATGTAGACAAAAACAGCAAGACAATCAAAATAAACCTCAAAAATATAAAGAACCAAATAAATCATTCTATCAATACATGAAAAAAGATCAAAATCTACCGAACAAAACTGTGTACAGCAACAACAGTTCAGGAAAACCACTCCCGAACAATACAAATTATACAAGAAATCAATCACCACATAACTCAAGTTATAGAGGAAGATCGCCAGAACGAAGAAATACACAAAATTCGTCACAAAATTACTACAATAGACCAAATAGTAGAAATAACTACTCCAGATCTAATTCAAACACAACACATTTTGTTTCTAGATCTAATTCCCAATCAAGAAATAGATACTATCCAAACAATCAGTCACGAAACTCATCATATAATAGGAATAGAAACTATTCCAATAATCGAAATAGAAGCTATTCCAACAACCGCAATCAGTATTATCCAAACAATCGATCAAGAAATAACTCATATAAAAGATCAAACGGTAATTATCAAAATAGATCGCGAAATAATTCACAAAATCGACATTCAAGTTATAATAATCGTTATAAAAATTATTCCCAATCACCACACCGGAATAATAATCACTATAATAATTCTAATAATCGCCACAGAAGCAGTACACCTAAACATCAAAGACATATTAATCAAGTACAATCAAATCCAGAAACAACATCAGACCCTCCAGGTATTGATGACACAGTAAATGATACGTTACAACTCAATCAAATAAACTGTGGATCATCAGACTCAGAAAGTGAAACAGAAAACACTATCTCCATCAATATGATAGCAGTCGAAAATGACTATGAACCTGTCATATATGAACAACCATTTTCATCACACATATATGAAAATCAATCAGAACTCCTTCACAATTATTATATTGAACCCATCCATTCCACACCGACGACGCAAGAAACTAATGCAATTAACACTACATATCAACCCAATGAGAATGACAAAACAAAATGCTTGAATACAAATCACATCTATCAAAATATACAAAAAGAACAACCCAAAGAAAAAATTTAGACAATTCCATTTCTCTTAGAAAGTCCAAGAAACAAAGAATTTCAACCACCAGATCTTGAAATTGATTTTCTAATTGATTCAGGAGCAGAATCAAATATAATAAACATTCCCACATGGAATGAAATAAAAACCTTACACCCAAAGCTAACACCTCTTGAAACCTCCAGCAAACTAGCAACAGCACAAGGATCAACATTAATAAACTACGGAAAAATTCAATTATTTCTTCTCCCCACAAGAACAATGGAGCAAAATAAAATTTTAACTAAACCATTTAAACAAATATTCCATATCACTGATATTAAACACAATATCATTGGAATACCATTTATCTCTAAATATATACCAACAATCAACATCTTGAACAGTAAAATATTAATCAAAGATAAATATACAAAAACAAAAGAAACATCCCTAACAATTTTTCAAAGATTAAATAAACAACCACCATTCTTTTCAAAATTCTATCCAATATATATCCAACAAAGAAAACACTTGAAACCACTATCAGGAAACATATACAATTTTTCAATAAAACAAGTTCACCAATATGATAAAAAACAAAACAAACAAAAATTTTATATGTCAGATTTTGAATTCAAACCTATTCATAAATTTTTCAAAATCATAATCTCATCAATAAAATATTTGAAAAACTCGAATTCAGATATTATTTCTTTACATGTATACAACAATACACCCTACCAAGTAACATTACCTTTAGGACTTTTAGGCTATTGCGAAACCAACGCTACAATATCACCAATACACGAAAAAGCATACCGCGTAAATAATATACTCCAATTATTAGATATTTGTCAATCCACAATTCTTAATGAAGAATTATCCATAAATAATATAATAAGTAACGAAAAAAGAAATACGGATTATTTCACAAAAACCCCATATTTCAAACCGACATTCAACATAAATAACTACACAGAGAATCAACAGAAATTTTTAACGATGTTTAATTTC